AGCGCATGTGACCTATAAAAGTAGCCATGTTTTGTGCCTAATATACTTCGGCCTAGCACGCTCGGCCTTTTGTTTTCCCCGGATGGTTGGTAGCGCAGAGAGGCAGAGGCAAAGGGCAGCGTCACAACAGCTATCTCTATGGAACGATTGCAAACTAGAACGAAACCGATCGTGGGACGCAACATAGCTAGCGGGCTACTACACCTAACTTCATCAACTCAAGTCTAGCTCTCCAAATCTATTGAAATGCTTCAAGTTGTTCTAATCGGTGCGGTAACCTGATGAGGATTATCGAAAAGGACTTTCTTCGCTGAATTGGACGCTTAGACCGTGTGTACTGGATGAAAAAGGCTATTGACGTCCTTGGGTGTAAACTTGATATATGCGCCAAAATACAGTCCTACCTGCTATGGCGACCACCGGTCTATTGCGACCAGCCAAAAACATCCCCAATATTTTATCCTATGAGTAATGTCCCTATGCGTGAACCTGTCTATGGCGGCCACCTGTCCAAGGTGACCACTTTTTGTCGGTCCCTTAAGTGGTCGCTCTAGACAGCTTTGACTATAATTGCCGATATTAAAATCAACTAGAGAAGTTCCGATAATTCGGTGTGCCTAGAAATAGCCTTGATTGACCACACAACCAATCTGTAATCCTTATGTGTACCGAGTCAGGAAAAGAGCTTGAGAGATACTTGTAGCCACTAACCAAACAACGGGGTACCGGGAACATACTGTAAACAACCAGGGCAGTATGTGAAACATCTTATTGTTATGGATGGGTTCAGCTAGATTTTGCGAAAAAAGACACCAGAATACTAGGTGGTTGATGAGCCCGCCGCAACTTGGTCTCCCAGCCATGTGATAAGACTATTTGTGGTAATCTGTACCAAGGAATGCAGCGCGTGTATCAACGCGAGTCCGCCGTGTTTCAACAATTCTGGCATTTCGCAGCTGAGCAAGTGCTCTCTGCGTCTCACGCAGTGTCGGTGTGTCCGTAAGACACAACTTCATCTCTTGTTTTTGCAGCCCGTGCACCAGTCCAAGCTCTGATCGTTTGTTCAAGAAGCAGTCGAAATGCTTTCGCCAGATCTATAGTATGTCTGCAGTATGCGTGCAGGCAGCGCCAGAATTATCATGGACCAGGGTCCTCAGTGACTGGAACTTGAGTCCATACACCGCCTTTGAGGAGTCAGAGTATTCCTTATGTTGGCTGCGTTCGGATTAGCATTCCATCTGCTTCACCCTCTCCGTCCACTATGCATTCTTAAAGCGACGGAGCTCTTGAGTCACTCGCCGTCGAACTTCACGAAACGGACTCTACTTCTCGGAGTCTGCAGAGTGGTCCGCATGCGCAGAGAATGCTGCATATTTTCCGACACCAGTGCGCCAATGATCGCACTATTGTCATCACACCAATCGGGCCGTTTACAGTTTGCGCGCCCGATCGTTTCCTCGACAGCAGCCGTCACCTGTGAGTGCGACAGGTCACTGGCTGAGGCGATAGAAAGTCAATATCACCATGGCCTTCTCCAGTTCCATCTTCTTCACAATAGTACCTGCAGAACTGATATTACATTTCGCCAATTCATGGCGAGCGAGCAATGCATAGATTTACGAAAATATTTAAACAACTTCCGGTCAGTACACACAGCTGCACTCATTACACATGGTATGCGCGAAGTGCGCATGCCACGCTGTCGTAGTCGAGCAGGTGAACGTGACCACTCCGTGGACGCGTCCAGGTAGCCTGCTGTAGTATGTGTCCGGTCGAGGGTTCCGTGGGCGTAGGGGGTCGTAATCGACCCAGGGTCAGAAATGCAAAACTGGTACTTCGCAGGCGGTTGGACAGTTTCATCACAAGCACCTATTAGGAATTGGAGTTGGCTGGTTGGTGCTCCTGAGTTACACCTCATAGCAAGCCGGACGGCGTTGACACAGCTGCCGATGGAGGACCGAGCCTGAAAACGAACACAAGATGGCTGCTCTGACGATACCGAAGACGAAGTAGCAAAACAAAAGAGGAAGAAACGACAACGGCATTCTAGGTTAGACTGAACGACATCTTACCTGTTGGCTTGCAACAAAGACACTGACGCGTTACACCTGTTTTCGTCCCAGACGTGGTTTGAACGCGCTCTCTCGGGGGTCTGACTTTGCAACAAACACGCAGCTGCATAAAACAATACACACGCCACGCACACGTACGCACCACTGCGCAGAGAAAGATGAGGGGACAGGGAACCTTTGGGTCACTCTCTTTCATCGACGTGAATGTTTCTGGCCATCGAGAGAGGCACTTCAACTAACACGCTCTGCTTGCATCTTACGGGTTGCATTAGGTAGGGTTCCACCAGTCTGCAGTGGGAAAGTTCATCATAACAATTGAACAGACATGGAATAATTCTGTCCATAAGAACGTCTATTATCCCACATATTGCAATAATCAATTATCTTAAATTAATTTATTGAATTTCTAACTGTTAAAATGTTCTAACATGCGTACAATTAAACGAAAACTATTTTGTGTGGAAGAAAAGATGTGCTTCTTTGCGATAGGAGAAAAACGAACAAAACGGACTTTTTGATGAGTGAACAGCTACCAACGTGAAAGTTGTGTTTGTATATAAGTGCACATAATAATCCTATATGCCGCGTTCTCACAACCAAGTTAGGAATTACTACTCAAAACCGATGATGGATTGATTAAGAGGTTCATGTACCGAAAATCGGCTTGATCCGGTCAGTAGCTGCACTTCACCAGCTCCACGGACACCTGTGAAGACATTACTTACTCGTACCAGACGAATTTGTTCGGCCGACTGTCTGAACAATGAGCTAGTGTTAATTATAGCAACACTAATGGCCAGTGGCTACCCTCGAGGATCTATCGAAAAACACAGCCAACCGCGAGGGCCAAAGGACTTAGTTCACACGGCAGCCAAAAAGAAAGTGTGTACCGAGTAGCTTTGAAAAGGTGATTTTGCCACGCTGAAGGCAACTAAGCGTATAATTTCGGCTACACAAGGAAGGTACTATGCTGCACAAGTTTTCGTCATCAACCGAACCCGAAATCTGCCCATACCTCCAACGAAGTAAGTTCAGCCCATTGGGGTCAACTCACATTGTGTATACCAATTTATATATGACTACGGAAACAGTTACATAGGCAGAACTAATAGAACGCTGAGTTCCCGAATAAAGGAACATGTACCAAAATGGGTACAACGTGAAGTGGCTCAGAGTGCCTACCCTCGTCACATTGCATGTTCACGCAGACCGCCGGCTTCCTCGATAGGCAAACACCTATCAGACTCGGGTCACCGGCTAGAGCTGTTCTCAGCGTTTAAAGTTGTGTTGCGTCACACTAATCCCCGCTTCATTCGGTTTGCTGGGGCTGTCGCTATAAGCTGAATGAAGCCAGCCTTGTGTGTTTAGAAACAATTATTTGTCAGCTTAAAGCTGCTTTGGACGTATGTGTGAACTTCCGTCATTCGTCCTGCACCTCAAGCTTGTCTGGTTGCACCCACTGTTAGCTATATCTATGCATATGGGTTATTGTTAATGATACTGAGGAGACAATAAGAAATGCATGCATCTACCAACCTTCGTCTTCTTTCCGTGCTTTTCAAATTGTTTAAGGGAACTAACTGCTTTGAAAGCCAGTAAGGACCGACTATAATAGATAACCAATCAGATGTCCACACAGAAAAAGAAGTGAAAGCAATAGCATCAGAGTATGACTGCGATCCGGAAGCAGAATGACAGCTCTAAACAGCCACTGATGTTAACGGAAGGACGCATTGATCACTTCTAGCCCCATTTGTTTATTTATTTACTTTGAACTCCTTTTCAGTTGATGATGAAGCCGTCCATTCTTCCTCTTCGACATGTCTTTGCCTTGCATGAGGAGTGCTTCTGTAATTGATAATCTAACAGCAAGCAAGTCTTTCTGTTTCTGTAGAATCAAAAATTTTTATCAAATAATTGGGAGTAAAATTGCACCACGACATTTGAAATCTATGCACTAAAATTTCATCCATAGGACGTTGAACCTAAACACGGGATCTTTCATGTGCTACCAAGAGTGTCGAAGGTAGCAAAAAAGTCACAATCCATACTATTGCTAATAACTTCTAAACATTCTATCTCTGATAATTCATTCTGGTAACTTAGTAGCAGCAGTGAACAATAAGCTAGCAAATACTTTTTGATTCCGCTTAACTTACCTCCACTTTTTTAACGGTTCTCGAAATTATGCACTGAAATTCACGTCAAACCAACGTTCAATTTCATTACTTTCAAGTAGTTGTAACTTGAAATCAAACGCAAAGTGCATTGAACTGTTATAAAGATAGAATCTAATGTACATCCCGAAAAAGAAGGAAGGAAAATATGTGCACTGTAAGTTGCATTGGCGAAAGCAATGGTTTAATGCGTCTTCTCGACCTACGGCGTTAAGGGGTTAAAGCATTGTCAGTTAATGAGCCTAGTGAAAAGAGTCGGAAGTTCCAAATTTTTGCTTAAGCGTACCCGAATTATCATCCTACCTCCAACAAAGCGGAAATCCATTTGTAAGACTCGACTGTTTCCTTTGAGCATGGAACAATATGATAGTCAACATTAACCCACTGCTTCACTAACTTCTGCCCATCTATGCCTTAATTTCACCATATTAATGTCCAATCTCCAACCAATTAAAGCTATGTGGCATTCATCTCTTCATTTTGCGTGAATGCAATGTACGACCTATCTCACAACATGATTTCAGACCGCTGACTTCTTATTCCTCATGGATACTTTCGAACACTGGTTGTTTCCTGGCAGAAGTCCACATGAAGTTACGTTCGCTTCTTTATTAACTAATTTTTATGAGCTATTTCAATTTCAATTTTGACTTAGTCAGGAGTTTCAATTTCTCAGAGGAACCCGATACTCCTTCGCTTCTGCCTCTCTGCCCATCCTAACCTTTATCTTCCACTCTTTCTTTCACTCCAGCTGGTTGGCCGTTCTCCTGGAAACTATCGGCAACCTACTCATTCTCTCAGTGACTGTATTTTGTGTGGTGACCAGGGACAGGTTACCCGCCGGATTCTCTGGCCTTGTGATCAGTTACGCACTCAACTTAAACCAGACTCTGAATTGGCTTGTTCGGATGACTGCGGACTTAGAGAACAATATTGTCTGCGTCGAGCGCATCGATGAGTACACCAAACTGGAACCAGAGGTGAGTGACGACGACAACTGTAATGAAAATTCGGCATTCGGCTCTGTGATGGTCCAATACTGTTACCTTGCGAAAGTTACAAATAACTTCTACCTCACCTTTGCCACTTTATCATTGTGACACATTACCTCGGTCGTCTAGTTCCACCTCACACTGCCTTAACAATCACGCGTATTTCCTAAACGAAATCGAGCACCTATCGATTCTCCAGATTGCTCGCAGTGGCACGATTAACTATGCATACTGTATCACGCGTGGCCAGCTAGGCAAGCAAGCAAGAAAGGCAACCGTGCAGTCAACCCGTAAGCCTTCAAACCTTCTCTTCCAAACGTTTGCAAAGGTTCCAGCCTCAACACAATCGACCAATCCGCTTCTTATCACTACTCAATTAGATGTTATTTTGCTCGCGTGATAATGAAGCTTCCTTACGCGAGATAGGCCGCATGACCAATGACGTATTACGTCTCCGATTGGCTGATCATCCACGACACCATAGAAGTGTGCTGGTGCACCGATGGCATTCAACAGATAGGCGACCGACAAGCGTAGCCAATAGTACAGCGAATCCGCAAGCCTACTACCAGCCTGCAGGTAGTTTTAAACCAGTCAATCAATCCAAAATATGCTCTTGTTTAAAAGTACCAGCGCATTCAGTGCCGCACCAATGCGCGGCTGAAGGGAAGCCGAGGCGCTCTTTCTGAAGTCAGACCGTCCAATTGACATGACCGAAAGCGTCTATACAACTGCACGCGCGCACGTGGTCACACTTGTTAGTCTTCCTTTTTGTGTGGCCGCAGACTCGACCCCAAAGTGTATGGCTGAGACGCAGCGCACGAATGTGGTCCAGAGCACACGAGAAGTTTACTCGGCTACGAGTGCGAACGAACGGGTTAATTACGAACTGAAGCGATCGATAGTACTGGTTCACCAGTGGTTTCGTTGTCGGATTGAGGGAGCTCAGCCAATCGGAGACGTAATACGTCATTGGTCATGCGGCCTATCTCGCGTAAGGAAGCTTCATTATCACGCGAGCAAAATAACATCTAATTGAGTAGTGATAAGAAGCGGATTGGTCGATTGTGTTGAGGCTGGAACCTTTGCAGACGTTTGGAAGAGAAGGTTTGAAGGCTTACGGGTTGACTGCACGGTTGCCTTCCTTGCTCGCTTGCCTATCTGGCCACGCGTGATACAGTATGCATAGTTAATCGTGCCACTGCGAGCAATCTGGAGAATCGATAGGTGCTCGATTTCGTTTAGGAAATACGCGTGATTGTTAAGGCAGTGTGAGGTAATCAGAAACAATACAGTACTTCGTACGAAGGAGGTAAGGCTAGGACTTGTTCGTAAATAGAAATTGTAAAGCCTTTACAGCTACAAGCTCCCTGTGCTGTGTTGTTTCAACTGGCCGTGCACTCAGGTGAATAGTGTAACTACGTACTGCTGTTGTAGTCGGCGAATTGTATACTAAGGGCAAGTTCGCTGGATAGGTAAGACCATCAGTGGATCTGTAGCCATTGTTTTAAAGAGGAGGGTTCCTAGTGTGGCGGTGACGCGACATCAGTGAGTGTTCGTTCGTCTCCATACCTGTGGGCCACTTCGGTAATCAATTACCGCTTCAAGACCCATGAACCTGCATTTCAACATGATATTTACACTTCAATTCCAAATGATTGATAAGCTTGCAATACCAAGTGACCCTACGGCCCTGATATGACCGGCCAAGGAGCATTGCACACGCATTGTAAGCATAGGTTTTGACGCAATTTCCCTCCAACAATGCCTTCGGAATTACCTACTTTCCAATGAAAAATTGTTTCCGAGTAATTGTCAAGTCTATAACAACGTGTGTCACGGCGTGCACACATGACTGCTTCTAAGACTAGCTGAAACAGTGATCCATAGCAGGCTTAGTGAGCGCGGTTGCCTTTGTAAATGATTACAAGCACATTGTAGGAACGCCCATGGGTGAGACAATAGTGTTTGTCTGTTCCAAGTACTCACTTGAATTATCAGAGTAAAATGCGTGCGTCGCCACTAATTATCAGCCTTGCGTTTTTTTCCAGCAAAACGATATGGCATGTATAAATATGATAATCATTGTAGCCCCTTTAGGCGGTTCTCTGTTGAGTAATGCCGATTTCATGAGGATAGCATTCCAGTCCATGGACGTTATAGGGAGGTTCCATCTGCATGGACTGTGCTACTAATGGTGCCATTCGGAGAGCCACTTGTCAAAGCATCTTAACACGTATGGGCGACCATATGGAAGTAAAGCCTAATTATCCTACGAATACATAGGTTCCTATGACCTTTAAATAACGCCATACTTGGAGACACTGACGCGTTAACTGGTTAACAAAGTCGCCCATGGGTGTGGAGACAAACGAACACTCACTAACGTCTTGTCAACGCCACACTTGCAATCCTCTTAGTTTGTGTTTAGTCATCAACTGTGATATAAGTAAGCAAACAGAACTTTCGTTGTTCAGCTTCAGGTTGGTCTACCAACTTCAATGGGAACAATGTCCCCCATGATCGTCGTAATAACAATCGCACAAAATTGTCTAAGCGCCTAGCAGCCATTGCTGATTCAGTTTGGGTGTGCAGTGTCCAAGTCATGGCGCATGCCTGACCAACCGCAAATGCAGGTCTGCCTCACTCCCTCAGGCCTCAGGGACTGCGGAATACCAGTTAGAAGATTGCCTGTCTACGCCACCATGGTTAGGCCGCTGAATAAGCGATTACAGGTAGCCCCTAGCGACCGCTAAGTACAAACCGTTTCATGTGCTGGTTAGTATGTCTGTCCGCAATGGTTACGGCGTAAACTTCGGATCATGTGGTAGTTAGGCTCTCCTCCCTAGACAGGCATCACAAGTTGCCCATTGGACGATTTTAGTTTGGAGACCAATCATCGGGGTTCCCTTCAGATGGACATCAAGACATAACAGAAGATGGTGCTCGAACACTTTCATTGGACTGGCTGTCGCTTAGGCTGGGGGCTTCCAACCGGTGTCCCATTGGCTAACGTCCCATGACCCATGAGAGTGTCAACGACACCAAAACAGCGTTCTTAGCCTCGCTGACTTGAAAGCACTGTACGCTATTTCGAATGTGTCACGCCAAAAGCTTGGTACAATGCATTAACATGCCTGTAAAATGGTATAGACGTCACTTTAACATCCGCTTCATTAGAGGTTAATTGATGTCAACGACTCATCGTTCTGACATAGCTAAGGAAGACTGCTGTCACCTTTCTCTGGCTCAGCTTGATGATCAACCAGCATGAGCTCTATACTTGGACCCTGATGAAGCGAAAGCACCGCTCTTGCTTGGGCCTGTTGTTACTTGCCTTAGGCCAGATCGTCCGTGACCCGTCGCAATTCGCCTGCGATTGATCATCGTCACAAGCATGTCATTTACTGTGGTTGAAAGTATAGTTAATTTTTCTAAATCCACATCTGCTGCTTGTGAGTGGTCCCAAGCGTGACCTTAGCGATCTCTTTGGCCCCTGACTGAACCTACTCCTTACTGCGTCATATTTCAAACTTTGGAGTGAAAAGCTCCCAGTGGGTTCCAACCATGCAAGTGTCAAATTTTCCCCTTGGCTGATTATTCACCTCAGTTGTACATAAATTTCCAACCCCCGGCAGTTTTATTTCCGTAAACCCCGAAGTGTCTGTCTCCAAGGACTTGAAATGCTTGATGGTGAGAGCGCTTCCCAAGGATGGTGATCCAAGTAAAATAGAGAACTATAGACCGATCTGTTTGACTTTGATCTTATCCAAAGTTCTCGAAAATGTCGTGAGAAACTGTCTCCTGTCGTCGTTCAAATCGATGGACGTATTGACGCCAGCGTAACACGGCTTTACGAAATAGCGATCCTGCATCATCAACTTGATGTACGCAAATCATCAGTGGGTATGAGCTCACAACAAACGGAAGGATGTTGACGTGGTTTACATCGACTTTAGTAATGCGTATGCCAAAATGAACGACGAGATACTCCTTCGTAAACTGAGGACATTCGGAATCGGTGGCACCCTACTTCAGTGGTTACACGAGTTTATTGTGGGACGAAAGTTTAGAGTACAGGTCAATGACTACCTGACAGACTGGTTCCCATCGACCAGTGGAGTGCCTCAAGGAACTGTACTTGGGCGTGTTATTTCTTGTTCATATCAACGATCTCCCGCAGCAGCTCCAGTCACCATGTGCCCTATTTGCAGATGATTCAAAAATCTGGAGCATCATTGAAAATCAAAACAACTGCGCTCGCCTCCAGCATGATTTAGATCGACTGTCAACGTGATCCACTGAAATGCAACTCCTTCTTAATGCAAGTCGGAGTTTATCAGTATCATCAGACGTCCAGCCACTCGATCTGTCAAAGAATTAGGAGTTCTCTCGCGACATGATATGAGATCAGTAGAATAAACAAAGACTTCGTATTCTCTGGGCATTACGACGCAGTTTCTTCACATGATCCGAAGAAATCGTCCCTCGCCTATTCACCTCGCTTATTGGACCAATCCTTGAATACAGCGCCCCAACTTACCATCCGATAACCCAATGGGAAGCTGAAAAGCTGGAGAAAATGCAGCACATCGCAAGTGGAATGATACCCGGTCTACGAAAGCTTCCGTATGAAAAACCTTGTGAAAGGCCCGGACTCTACACACTGTCCTACCGCCGAGTAAGAATTGATCTTATACAAACTCAGGGTCCCCTGCTTGAACAATTTATCACATCAGCTTTGTATAGAACAAAGAATCGTAAACTCATGGAATACGCTATGAGAAGGACTAACAGAGGCCGATTCTATGGAGTATTTTAAAACACGTATCAACGATTATTTCGGAAATCAGTGCTTTCGTGAAACGGTGCGCATACACTGGAACATATACATCCTATACCTAAAATTAATGACACCAATACAAATTCCTAATCGATCGAGGATAAAACATTAAATGACCAAACACTACCACCGACGATTCGCAATCAAATGCTTTTTATTTTTTATAATTCTATAGAGTTGTACAAAAACCTTTCTGCTTTCTCTTAAATACAGTCTCAGTTTCAGCCCATCAAGATTTCGTTCCATAGGACAACAAACAAAGATCTAACTTTAGCGTTCTCTTATATGTGCAGGCATTTGTACTGTAACCTTATTCGTGTGTAACGTTTACCAACACATTTTTCGTGCTTTACTTACGACAAAATTATCGCGAACACTATCAAAATTTAGTCCATCGGCAAGTTCCCTCTGTCTGGGGAGAACTGTGAAGTCCGTGAGCATTGTTCGGTTTATTACTAATCGAAGTAACTATTTGTAAGCTAGGTTTTTGTAAAATGGCTCACAGGTGATAACATTAATAGCTCGGGTACGAGAGATCCGCAACAGTATCACGATATCCGGTGCAGATTCCTCAGAGCTCAAGACTTCAAACGGTCAACTTATTTTGTCGTTTCCTGAAGCTTTCACGAAATACTACAGTCTTCTCCTTTCGGTAAAGAATTCTCTTTTTCTATCCCTTCATCAACTTCGCTAAGCGGACAGTCGCAGTTATCATCAAGCAGATATGACGATGTCAGGAAAACATATTTGCATACAAGGTCATGAATTTGCTGAAATGTACGATATTTTTCATCATTCAACCTGTCTATGATAAACAGCATTTCCCATTTCAACTCAGTATCCAATCCCATCGAAGCCATAAATTTAGACATTTTGCGTAACAGACTCAGCTCTTCAGAGACTGTCTGGGGTCGTGTCAGCCCAGAAGATAGTAGATGTTAACAGAAACAACCTGAGTCCTAGAAACAGGTAAAGGAAACTCGTCCGTTAAACCCTCAGTACTATGGCAGTTTTCTGGGTAAACGAGCTTGTTTATAATTTCCTAAGGATAACCCAAAATAGTGGGAATAAGAGCAACTGCTGGCCAGTCATGTGAGGAAAACTTTATCCTTCAGTGGGTTGAAGCTCATTCCTAAGTAGATGGATAGTCACCTGCTCCGCGTATTTTGTGCTGCATGCACCAAATCGCAAAGTCGGTCCCTCGGAAGCAGCTCGACGCCGTTGGGTTCTCAGTTGTCAGAACGCTCCTAGATGTCATCCATTGCGACGTTGGATAGGAAGGTTGCTATTGGGAAACCCTGTCTTGTGCGGCCTATGTTACTAACATGAGGCGACAAGGTGCAGGACATCCGTAGGAGGCCCGAGGACTCAGAGTAAATGACTTCAAAGATATTAATACACTTCTCTGGCAGTCCCCTAAACAGACAATGAAGTTTGACCAATAGGGTCAGGCGCTACTCATATGTCTAAGAAGACATCAGTCATTAGCTTATTAGATGCTTACTGAGAAATTGGTATTTGCCGGAGCGTACACTGTGATCAATACAGTTCCAGCCTGATTGGAACCTACTTGCTGTTCGAGTACAAGTTGGAGACTTCTTGAAAGCATGGGGCGATCACTTTAGATGCAGCGCAGGTGAGATTGATCCGTTGATGGTTAGCGCCATCTGCCCTCTTGCCATCTTTGAAGGCGGATGCACCATGTGCTATGTTCTAATTGGACGGAATTGCTTCTGTTGAGTGAGTTCACCTGGTCCATAGGCTTTGTAGAGCTTAAGCAGATGAATCTCATGAGCAAACTCAGTCTCAAACGGTCACTAAATGTCTACACACCTAGGCGTACTAAGGGTTTCTGAAGGTAAAATCGTTGGTACTGCTTTCCAGTTAAGCAGCTGTTCGAAATGATCAGCGAAACGCACAAGTCGATTTTGTCGACAATTAATCGGCTTACCATTTTATTCACAGAAAACTGCCTTTACAGTCAAATTTTCTCTACTGCTCGCTCGAACTGAGAACACTACCTTAAGGAACTTATTCCTTCCTTCCTTATCAAAGTGGCTGCCTGCCGCAACTCTATGACATATTGCATCCATGAGATCTTACAATCTTCCCGGTGGAGGTTTCCAAGTTCAGTGTTGGTAGTCCTGTGCATTGAGTGATATTAAATGCCAGCGGGATCTTCTGACAGGCCACATCAGTGGTCCGATGTGACCCGGTCACGCAGTGTGCGGCACTTGCACTCATTCTCCACCTTATAACCTTTGGCTACTGCATCAAACGAATTGATTTTCCCTCAGTACTCTTGAATTGTTGCTATTCTCACACTTGATATGTTCGTTTGCTCGCTCTTTATTTTCGATGTTTGTCAAAGTTTCTATGTTCACCGCATCTGGCTGCACGGATCAAATTTGCTAAACTATTGTGAACGGGATCTATACGCAATGGCTGGGGCCTTGTGCTCCTCTAAAATGCACTCCCCACACATTCTACATGCGTGGAATTGCTCCCCCTACACTATGGGCTTGAAAATACCGCTTAATTTGATCAAACGCCAGCTAGTTAACTCGTTGATTTCCTGGTCCACCATGGCGACGTACACGAAGCCTATCTGTGGTTTACCTAACGTTTCTGGTTTGCAGAATTCCTCGTTTTGGTTATGAGACAGTGGGACTTGTAGCATTCTTATTGTTAGCTCTGATTTTCCTCTTGTCAGTTGCTTCTGTATTGTAGCGCACATCTCTTGTTTCCGTCCGTGGCGATTTTCAGGCCGCATGGGAGGTGAAGGAAACCAGGCCAGCACCCGATTGGCCAAATGGAGAAATCCAGTTCATCGACTATGGAATACGCTACCGACCCGATTTAGATCTTGTACTACGGTCCGTCAACATAATGATAAAACCAGGTGAAAAGGTGAGCACCCTTTAGTTTTGGTCCATTGCGTTTATCTCGCACCCACCAATCGTCCCTGTTCATCACTTACGCACACCACGTTTATGCTTGAGGTTTCTCGTTAGCACCTTACGTTTCCACGGCACATGCCAAATCCACTCTTTTGTTCGCTTTAAATCACTACAATCTTATTCGTCGCAAGACCTCCGAGTATGCATAATGCATTATGTGACTTGATGATCCCATAATACTTTTGTGAAGTCATGCGCAGCACCCTGACACTGAGATCAGCAAAGCGCTATTTCGCTTTATCTCGTTTGGTTTTCGTTGAATCAGTTAGTATAGAAGTGGGGAGCTGCGAGTCCTACCATGCGTATCTTTGTTTCCGATGCTGTCTATCAGTAGCTGTGACACCTGAGAGTATCCGTAGCAGAAACACGCGCTCATTGAGCAAAACTCATTCCCCTGGGAGTGCTGAGTTCCCTTTATACCACACTGTTTAACTCAGTTAACCGTAGGCTGAGGGAACTTGTTTCATCCCCACTGACGTAATTGCTTGTAACTTTCCTTGACGAAATTAAACATTAATTGGTGGCGAACAACAATCTTATCAGTGTGTACACGAAGTCGCCAAAGCCATTTGGTAACAAACCCCCATTGAATTGCGCCGACTAGTGCTTTACGACATTTTGTGGATCTTTCTACCGGATTAATTAACGGACAAAGATCCGATAAGCCTGACCTACTTGTCCTTCAGGTTAGGGGTTTTAGGTGAGATAGCACTCATCGGTGCGAAAATGATGACAAGGGAAATAATGAAATTTGTAAACTGTAATCAAACAGGTTTACGAGCATGGCGCTTCGATTAAAAGTGATAGTCGTATTTCTAACTTTTGACACCATGGTAGCATCCCAGACCCTAAACAACTATGACTATTCGCCTCCGGGTTCACGCGTAATTATGGGAGTTTATTGCAACAATCTTCAAAATACCACCTTTTTCGACCTATCATTGGCCTTTAACATGATGAATTTCGATGTTCACTAACTGCTGCTAGAAGATCAGTAGGTCCGGGGTTCGATTCCCCGTCGAGGCAGATTATTGTGCAGTTTAATCGTGGCTTCTACTTTCTACGAAATACACTATTCACAACAACCACCAATAATCTAAAAAGATCAGTTTGTTTATGTCACATTTCCATTTCTGACTTTGGCTCCACTTCACACGAGTTCTCTGGCTCTGATCACACTGTGTCCGGTTACTGATTTTCGTGATTATTACCTAGAGATACCTCAGATTATTTGGATTTGTAACCGACTTTACATTCAACTCGTGAATAGACAGAACTGACAGAATCCCTTACCGTTCATGCACTCGGCTTCTTGCGAAGAATATATATATATATATATATATATATATATATATATATATATATGCTTCGGTATCCGTGTCGAATCCAAACGCCACGGCATGAAATCGCCCTGCACAATGTAGAAATCTTTAGGAAAGGTTTGTTATCCACACCCCAAAGGATGACTGCTGAGGCGTCGGAAATTGCCAAAACCAACAGCTGCGTAGACAGATCGGATGGAGTGGAGTTATCAATTGTGTGGCGAGCTGTCTTAACACCGCCAATCTAAAGGGCGTTTACGGACGGATCTGGAGCAAAGCGCTAGCGTCAAATCACTCCTACTCTCACAGCAGGCAAAGACTTAAATGTGATGACCACATGCAATGAACTACTTGCGGTGTTGCCATCTCTAACGTGCCACTTAAAATGACACTGACCTTTAACGTGATTAACATCCTGCTGGCATCTCCATCACCGCGATTATTGTCCCTTCATGCCATACAAGTCGTACCAATTACCCTTGGTTCACTTTTCCTAACTAAGTTGCCGTGTGGAACGCAAAACGTTATCCTCCAACTATACCATGAACTAGTTTGTTTGGATTGGTTTCATTTTCACAAAATCTGTACCTACCTTTGTTTTCCGAAGCTTGGGCATTTCTGACTGAACATCTCTGCGGGAGATGAGGGTGGTGAGAAAGCTAGTCAAAGCTGCCGGCAGTCTATGATGAGTCATTTCGTCAAAGGTAGTAACCTTGTACAATCTATGGTTGAACACACTAAACTTTTGTGATATTTAACGTAAGCACATTAACAAGTTGGACCTGATTGCATTATCAATGCATATCGACCCGGATGGCAATCGCGCTTGCACAGAGGCTGAACAGGTCCGCAGTTTGCAAACTGCCCAGTCAGCTAATTTCTTGTCCCATACGATGCCTTACAGACCAGCAGATGAAATCCAATGTCATCTCATTAGTCCGCTCCAAAATGGGGGCAGCGTCATACTGCACGTTATATGACGACCACTTAGTTGCTATGATGTAGTACGATCAGTGCACCGTCAGCACGAGCTTTAAACACGGCTAACTTCGAGGCTGAAAGAACAGCTTCTGGGAGGATATTCAATATGTGGCAAACACGCAACGAGTAGAAGTTTCTTCGACATTCAGACTGGCTATATTGTTCTGCCAATTTGAGGTGATGACTTCTCAGGCTCTTGTCTTAACTTCAGCACGGGTGACTAGGATTGTTTATAATTTGGTTAACCATGATTAGTTCGCCGCGCAAAAGCCGTTAGTGTCCGCTGAAGATGCCTAGCACTCTGAGGTGCTATTCTTATGACAATTGGCGCAGCCCTTTCCTATTTTTGGTCGCCCGACCTTGCGCAATCTCCAAGGCAGCGAGATCTCACTTTAGCCATGGGGCCATACTTGCATTGCATATTTAACATGAGGGCGTATGTAATCGGGAAGTAATTGGCAAAAAATAGACGGTTCGAAGTATCCGAAAGCTCACCGTAGAAGCCCTGCGGTTTGGATCCCATTTTCCGATGCCTTTTGGACTGTTTCCAGCAGCCGACATCTTTCTGGACCAGCCCACCGAGATCCTTTTAGAGAAAAAGTGTTGCGGGTCCTGATCCCCCAGCTAATGTGTGAACCATTCGGTGTCGTAAATGGAGCACTCGACATTTACTTACATAGAAAAACGAGTGATTTTGGACCGACCATTCATAAATCTTGTCGAGATCACTTTGCAGCTGGATACGGTCTTCTGGAGTTCCGATCTTTCGTCAGACTTTTATTTCATCGGCGTAAACCGTTTGACCTGATTTGGCTCAGTAGATCGTTAACCAAGATAAAGAATATTCCGGGTCCCAGTACCGTACCATGTGGTACACCGCATTCGATGTGAATTGGGTCTGACATGGATTCACGTACTTTGACTTCCAAACGCCGGTGCGTAAGAAATTGCAGATCCACCTTAGGCTAGCGTCTCCAATGCCACATCCTTGAAATTTGGCGAGAAGAATACGATAGTCTAACCGATCGGATGCCTTCGAGAAGTTAAGCTATCTCAACTCCTGCACTAGCATCACCGTTTCGGTCCAGCTGTCTCGTGCCAACAATAGGTTGGTGGTGCACAACCAATTCTGGCGGAGGCCGTGTTGCTACTGAGCAATGTGACCAAAATCATCCAGATAATTCATGAGTGCGTCGGCAATGACAGCCTCTATAACTTTCGAAAGAATTGGCACAAGGGTCACTGGTCGATAATTAGCAGGGTCGGAACAATTACACCCTTGGAAAGTTGGAGTTGTTATCCCGTGTTACCACAATGCTGGAATGTGCCTATCGTCAAGCCAATGCTGAAACAGTCGCGCTAAGCTTTCACTCGAAACATTTGCGACCACAACAAGCGTCTTTTTGCAAATGTCGTCAATTCCGGGACAAACGTGCAGGCGCATGGAGAACAACTTTCGCATCACGGTGTCTGCCGTAAAACTTATACGAGTGAGTCCTGGTGGAAGCACCATAGTTTCCAAAGCTTCAGGAGAGCACGAGATGCAATAGAACGTTGGTGCATGTTGTTTTTGCAAACATTCGACGCTTCCTTGGCAGCCCGAGTTTCACCATCCGCTGTTTGAAGTGGGACGATCCACTTTTCACTTCGCGAAGGCTCTTTACATGCTTGTACAGAAGCTTAGGGTTTTGAAGTAAATTGCTCTGCTAAAGCCTGTTGATATGCTACTTTGTCCTCGCGTACCAATTGGGTACAGTGGTTACGGTGGACAAAATAGGCCTTCCAGGTACTCGGATTCCGATCGGTTTTGTGGGTATACCACGCCGCGTTACGTATCACCATGCATTTGCGTGTCTTAGTCCGTATAAACGACGCTATGTTTCTGAAATGATAACCTTAGTTTCCGATGCCCCACTACGCAAGATGTTAAACTTACTGAAGAAACCTTCCCAGGCACTCATCCTCGGTTAGAAAACTTCAGTCAGTCGCTTCAACGAGTCGTAGCTGGTTATGGTCCGTGTCGTTTGGGTTCTGTCATCTTAATATTTCGCATAGCAGCTTTACATGAAATACAAAGTCGCATGATCACTGCGACCTAGAGGAGTATTGATTATCACTCTCTCGATCATGAGTTCTTCATCAGTGCAAATCAGGTCCAGTATGGATGGCCTGTTTTCCCCCCTTAATCTGGTTGGCGAAGTGGCGTGGCCATAAAGCGGAAAATTTGCGAAAAGATCTTGTAGGTCTGCTTTGAATTGCTCGTCTCGTGCGACCTGGGATTCTAGAGCATTTACGTTGAAATTGTCAGCGACTAGAACGTGACTGTACTTCCTGTTCAGCACCTGCCTCAACGCGGCCATAAAATTGAAGTCCATCTCAGGTGTAGACGATGACGGCGGTAAACAACAGCCATTAGACCAATGTCGTTCGCTCTCAGCCGTACGCTACACCAAATGAAGTCGGGCACTTCGGTTTCCGAATGGTGTATGGGTTCTGTTGTGGTTCCCGCTGACTGTACGGATAACCTGCTGCTACCGCGCAAGCTGACTTGCCAACTTTCCAGATTAGAAGACAAAGGCCTCAGGCGAAAACTGCATTTCGCACCCGGCAAGCAGTATATACAAATCACATTATGTGAGCGAAGCAT